TGGACCTGCATGGTGTGCAGGTCTGCAGCCTCCTGCCACCCACAAGAGGGGTGCAGCCTCCATCCACTTTGGCTCTGCTGCTCATGGCTGGGAGATGTGCTCGTGGAGGTGGTGACAATCCCCACGCCACGCTGGGACCCCCCATGAGCATGGGGTGATAGAGGGTTTTGGCTGCACAGGACAAAACTGGGACATGCTGGGCACTCAGCACCAGCCTTGCCCTCCAAAGGGGAGACCACACCTCAGAAAGGTCCTTTAATGCTCACCAAGGGCTGCAAAGAAAACACAGATTGCAGCCCCACCAGGGCTCTGGCAGGGGCTTCTACTTCTCCAGCCTTTTCCCAAGAGCAGCCCCAGGACAGGGCACATCCAGCACCACCAGAGGACCACGAGAAAATGCAGAGCCTGTCCTTTGGAACCTCCCTCTACCTGCAGGAGAAGCAGGCAGTGCTTTGATTTCAGAGCTCCTGAACCCAAAGGAGCCTGAGCAAGATCTTTCCCCCTGCAGGAAACAGCTGCATGGGAGGCTGGTGGCCACCTCCACCACCTCCACGTGCCAGCCCCTGGAGAAGGGGTGGAATCTCGCTCACAGCAGCCCTCTGCGTTCAGCGCCTCCCTCCTGGGATAGCAGAGCCAGCAGCAGTCCTGGCTCCCCTGGGTGCAGAGGAGGCAGGAGCTGGGGGAAGAAAAGCTGTCTAGGAAGCTCTAAAAGAGGCCCATGCTGGAGGGTTTGGAGTTGCCTCCAAACTTTCCTGATTTTCAAGAGATTTGGGTGCAACCAGCCCGTAGGAGAGCCACAGTGTGGTCAGGATGACAGAGCAGGATGGGAGCTTGCCCCTGTGCTTCACACCATTCCCCTGGCACACAGATCTTCTCACCAGGTTGGGCCTGCTGTGCTTCAGGCTTCATGCCAGACCTGGGCTCAGAGCCAGACCCTCTCTGCAATCCCTAAATCCACTGCTCCAACCTTGTTTGCAGCTTGCTGACCTAACTCAGCTCTGGAGAATGGGCAAAGCCAGATGGCCTCCTGTGCTGCAGCCCTGCTGCCCACAGCCTGAGCAGAGGTTATTTTGGGGCTTGCTCACTATCACCAAATGGCCTCTTCATGAACACCTCAAGAAAAACAAAAAGCAGGCAGCTGGGAGGCAGCAGTTATCACCGTGGTGTCCTGCGAGCTCCCTCCATTTTCCCCAGCTGTGAAATGGGTACTTGCACTTCCCAGAGGTCGATGAGAGCTTTTTCTGGGTATCATCCAGACATTCATTTCATTCCTGGAAGCGATGCTCACAGGGGAGGGAAACCCAGAGTGGCACAACGCAGTTATGGGTGACCCACCTGAGCATCCCAGGCCTTTTCCTGCAGCTCTGGTGCAGGCAGGCCAGTCTGAAGATGCATTCTTTGATAGCAGAAAACATCTGCTGCAGATGTCAGGGGGCTTCCCTGGTCTGATGGGGGGCTGCCTGGTGAAGCCCATGTTTCCCCCTGGCATGACCTCTCCCAAAGTCAATACATTTGCTCCATATTTGATGTCTCCCATCCACAACACACAGCTGAGAAAACCCCCTGTACCACAGAAGCTATCTTTGGAGACAGCTAAAAGAAGGAAATTATTAATAATATATGGACAAGGCAGCTCAGTGCTTTGTGGCACATGGGCATGTCTCTGCAGGGTGCTGAGCAGACCCTTACACTGGGGTTTTCCTCCTGGATGCCTTTGGCAGCTCTCTGCTCCCCATCTCCAGGAGAGCCTTAGGGAAACCACCTGTAAAATGGGCAGCAGCCAAAGCTGGATCTGCTGAGCCCCATGTCCGCTCTGCAGGGAATTTAGGCAGCCTGCAAGTGCAGCTGTGCCACTGTGTGCTTCCCTCCAACATCTGCCTGTCCTGCTCACTGAAAAAAAAATCATGGAGCTGCTGCTAATTTCATTAGCAGGCCCGTCAAGCGGTTCATCAATCCATGATTTCCTGGCTTGCCGCCTTGAGGAAACAAGCGGGATCTGCTCTGAATTCACAAAGCCATCCCCTGGGGTCATTTGTCTGAAGGCTTAAAATTTCCCGAGTGCATTATTATCTCGGATTAAAACTGGGGGAGGGAGGGGCCTGGATTGTTTTTTCTGCCCATCCCCGGAGTAAGGCAGACCTCCCTCAGCCCCAGCAGCTCTCGCCCCGCGGCAGCAGCTGCCCCGTGCGGGGGCACGGGCGGAGCGGGGCCCGCGGCGCTGGAGGGGCACCGAGAGCAGCCGTGCTGGCGCTGCCGAAGGCCGGGCTCCCCGCGCCCCGCACCGAGGGTCCCGCACGCCGGGTCCCACCCCCCGCAAGGAGGGTCCCGCACAGGGGCTGCTCGCCCGCGTGGAGCGTCCCGCCCGCAAGGACGGCCCCGTCCGGATGGTCCCCCTGCCCGCAAGGAGAGCCCCGCACGGAGTGCCCCCTCCGGCCCGGGGATGTCGCACTGACGGTCCCCATCCCGCACGGGGATGTCGCACTGACGGTCCCCCCTATCACACTGGGGGGCCCCCTGTCACACTGAGGTTCCTCTGTCTCACGGGAATGTCACACTGAGGGTCTCCCCTGTCACACTGAGGGTCCCTCTGTCGCACTGTGGGTCCTTCTGTCACACTGAGGGTTCCTCTGTCGCACGGGAATGTCACACTGAGGGTCTCCCCTGTCAGACTTAGGGTCCTTCTGTCACACTGTGGGTCCCTCTGTCGCACTGAGGGTCCCCTCTGTTGCACGGGAATGTCACACTGAGGGTCTCCCCTGTCACACTGTGGGTCCCTCTGTTACACTGAGGGTCCCTCTGTCACACTGTGGGTCCCTCTGTCACACTGAGGGTCTCCTCTGTCGCTCCGCCCGGAGGGTCCCGCGCGGGCGCGGCGGTTCCGCGGCCCACAGCGCCCTCTGCCGCCCGCCCGCAGCACCGCAGCGCCGGCTGGGGAACGGGGAACGGAACGGGGAAAGGAACGGGGAAGGAAGAACGGGACGGGGAAAGGAACGGGGAAAGGAACGGCAGCGCCGGCTGGGGAACGGGGAACGGAACCGGGAACCGAACGGGGGACGGAACGGGGAATGGGGAACGGAACGGGGAACGGAACGGGGAAAGGAACAGGGAATGGGGAACGGAACGGGGAAAGGAACGGGGAACAGGCGGTGCGGGAAGAATGGGCGGCGCGGGAGGGAACGGGCGGTGCGGGAAGGAAGAACGGGTGGTGCGGGAGGGAAGAATGGGCGGTGCGGGAGGGAAGAACGGGCGGTGCGGGAGGGAAGAACAGGCGGAGCGGGAATGAACGGGCGGTGCGGGAAGGAAGAACGGGCGGTGCGGGGTAAAGGCCGGTGCAGGGCGGGCTCTGCAAAGTGCCAGCTGCAAATCCAGGGCCAGTATTCCCAGGAAAGGGGGAATTTGGGAGTCGTGGTTTGTGGCATTATCAGGACTAGGAACTGCAACTACGCCGACTTCAGCCAAGAGCATCTTGATCATAAAAGGAAAAAAAACCAAAAAACACAACAAACCAGAAGTACCACAGTTTAATTCAGATATGATGAAAAGCTTTTATTCTTACCCCAGCTTCTAATTTTGGTAATGTAACCATTTCTACTGCCACAATCCCAAAAAGCAAGGCCATTATTTTTAAATGGAAAACGTTCCTATGAAACGCAGAGAGGCAGTTTTATATTAGAGGGAAAGAACAAAGGAAAGAACAAAGGAAGTGCCCAAAATTTTCCACTATGAACCCTTCTGGCTTGATATTTATTTCCCTGTGCCTCCCACCATAATTTTAGCCAAACTCTTGGCTCAATTTCACTCGGAACATGAACTCCCTTCTGCACCAAATATTTCCCTGCTTGGAAACAAGCTCAAGCCCACCCCACGGGTGCACAGGCCCAGATCCAAGAAGTGAGGGGTCACTTATACTTACCCCTGAGGCATGGGTGACAGTGCTGCTTGCACTGGTGCTGCTGCTGCTTGCAGGGGTTTGGGGGCTGTCCCTGCACTGTCCCCCTCTCCAGCAAGCTGCTCAACCATGGAGTCCCCATGGCTGCAGCACAGCCTGGGGGAGCTCTGCTGGCTCTCGCAGTGGTGCCACATTTCCACCCTCACACGTGTCCCTGTGGCTCTGCCACTCATCTCTCCTCCAGAAGGCAGGGGCCTCTGCAGCCTGCAAAGCCCCAAAACTCCCACTGAGTACAAGAAAACCCCCTGCGTAGGAAAATAAATGTATTCTGTGCTCTCTCTGAGCTACCCACAGCCAAGCAAATATGGGCACAGTTGGCTCCTACCATGGCTTTGTTCTTTAAAAACATGTCCTTTCAGTCAGACCTGTCCTGGCACATGTGGCTGTCATTAGACAGACAAGAGAGATGCTCTCTGACTCCTGCTCGTAGCACTGCACCTCTGCATTGCACTTGTCACCCAAGGCATCCACAGCCCAGTGGGAATCACACTGCTTCCACAGCAGGAGGGCTTGGGAACGCTGTCCCCAGGAAGGTGCAGTGCTCAGGGCACCGAGCCACCTGCACCAGCTGCCCCCTGACAGCACCAAACAACAGAAGAGAGGGGCAGCAGCTGCAGGCCCTGCCAGCTCAGTGCCCAGCCTCAGCAAGGGTAGTGACAGGGCAGTGACAGTGACCCAGACAAGCCTCTCCATCTGCAGGTGTCAGAGGCACAGTCTGGCCTGTCTTAGCTGAGTTTGGGGATCCTGTGGGTAAAGAGTTTCTGGGTGCAGACTGGGCAGTTTTTGCAGACCCTCACTGAGGACTGATGACCTGGAGTGAGTTATAAAGGCTGAACCCAAAAGGCAGTGAAAAAAGTGACAGGTCAGAGGAGGAACTGGGACAATCCCCTGATTTGGAGCCACCTCAGGGGCTGCCATCAAGGCAGTGCCAGCAGCAGTGCTAAGGACCTGAGCAAAGGCCCTGGCAAGGCAGCCACAGGGTCTGCCTTGTGAAACAGCAAGCACTGCCTCAGCACCAGGTCAGACATCATCCAGCTGAGTCTGTTCCCCCTCACTGCATCCCACCCCCAGATGAAGCTTCCTCCTCATCCTCAAACAGACTGTCTGAGCTGTCAGAGAAGAAATCCTCCAGTTCCTCCTGCCTCATCTTGGACTCCAGAGCAGTGATGCGCTGCTTGAGCTTCATCTGGGCGTCGTTGTACTCAGTCAGGAGCCGGCCAAAGCGGGTGTGCAGCGTGTCCAGGTTCGAGGCCACGCTGTCCAGCCTCTCCTCCATGCTCTTCCCTTCTGCGCTTTCCTCTGCAGCTGACTCATCCAGCAGCCCTTCCTTCATTAGGATCTCCCTGCCACGCTCCTCCAAGATCCTTTTGGCATCAGGATACTCTGTGACTGCTTCCATGAGATCTTCCTTAGACAGGCAGAAGAGATCAGAGTAGCCCAAGCTGCAGATGTTGGCTGTGCGTCTGTTGCCCATCTTGCAGCCTTTGATGTTGAGGATGCTGATCTCACCAAAGCAGCCCCCTGCAGTGAGCAAAGCATACTGTGTCACGCCATCATCCGCCACCACGGCCAGCTTGCCCTCCTTGATGATGTACATCTCCTTCCCGATGTCCCCTTTCCGGCACACGTAATCGCCCGGGCTGAACACCTGAGGGCGAAGCTTCAGCACCAGCTCCACCAGCAGCCCTGCCTCGCAATTCTGGAAAATCCTCACCTTCTTCAGCGTCTCCAGGTGAACATTGATGGCAATCTCTGCCCTTAACTTATCAGGGAGGTTCTTGAGGACCTCCCGTTCGTCTACTGCCTTTTTGTTGGTCCACAGGTAGTCGAACCACTTGATGACTTTGGTTTCCAGGTCTTTGCTCACCTTGCGGAACTGCATGTAGTGTTTGACGGCATCGATTTTGGCCTGGAACTCCGCCCTGGTGGCGTTCATGTTGGAGATCATGGACCCCACGTTGCCCACGATGGTGGCGAAGATGAGGACGCCGATGAGGAAGTCAAAGATCACGAAGAGGTACTCCTCATCCCGCACGGGGGGAGGGGTCTCCCCAATGGTGGTCAGGGTCAGCGTGGACCAGTAGAGGCAGTAGACGTACTCGCGGGTCAGAGAGCCGTACTCGGGGTCTGTGACGTTGGGGTAGACCCAGGTGTCCTCCCCGAAGCCTATGGCCTTGGAGATGGCGTAATAAATGCAGGCGTTCCAGTGGATGATGACCAGGATGTACAGAACCAAGTTGCTGATGCGGAAGAGGTTGGGGTGGCTGGTCCTGGTCTCGGTCCTGTCGAAGAACTCAAACATGCGGGAGAAGCGCAGCAGCCTGTTGAAACGCAGCTCAGGGCAGTGCAGTCCCACCCAAAAATAGGCCAGGTCTGTGGGCAGGGTGGAGAGAACATCCAGCTTGAACTGGAGCGTGGGGATGTAGTTATCCCGTAACTTCTTCAGGTCCTTAACCAGGAGGCCCTGTTCCAAGAACCCTAAAGAGAAGCAAATCACAGCATTATCTTGGTTGAAGTTTGACTTTTCTGCAGGTTTTGTGAGCACCTGGGCAATAGTCTATGATATGCCATGGATTTGTGTGCATAAATACACAGGGTCACCCAAATATTACCAGCTCCTGCTCTACTCAGTTTGTTATCACTCAAGGCCTTCATCTGGCAAAAACCACCCAAAGATATAACTCAGGGATTTAGTCTCTTGCCACGAAGGAAAAGGAACACAAAGGTTTCCATTCTCCAGATCATGAATTATTGCAGTTCTGTCAGAAAACGTACAGCCAAGTGCTGCCTTCCGAGAACATTAAATTCTACCATTTTTCCATGCAGATAATTCATTAGCTGAACTGATGCAAAATCAGAGATACAGACCTTCAACTATGCCCGAATACGAATAGTAATGCAGGTAATTTTGTACAATTATTCAAAGGTGAAGTTGAAAGCTGGGATGATTAATCTTTCATATTGAAACTTGCTCCATTTCTCAGATCTTCTAATTAGATTCTTTCTCTGGAGACTTTTTCCTACTAGTGAACACCAAGGTAGGCAAAACCCTCCTTCTAATGGAACTGTGGATTGGGCCTGTCCCTTGCAGCTCATCTCCACTTGTAAGGGATTAAAGGAAAGCCAGGATGCTGCTCCTGCTCACCTGTGTGCAGGCGGATCACTGTGTCCCCGAGGTAGAGAGCATCTGAGATGTAATCCAACACCAGCCACAGCACAAAATAGGTCTTTTGCAGGTCAGTGAAGCAAGCCCTGGAGGAAGGTCATCAAGCAGGGTGTGAGACCACAAATCCCCACATCTTCTCTAACTATTACAGCTGAATGTTGGCTGATCCTGAGGCACCCAACTCTGCAACAGAGCTTGGCCACTGGGCACTCCTCTTCTAGGAATTAAAACTCCCTGCTCTGAAAAATCTGCCCTCCCTTGATGGAGGTAAAGCAACACCTTGAAACCACCTCAAAAATTACCCTGAAACCAAGGCCCTTTCCAGCTGAGCCAGAATTCACAGTGATAAGGGAGGGTCTCTTTACTCTCAGTGCCCACCAGCCCCAGCACCACCAGTGTCAGTTTGGTCCTGGTTGAGCCACAGCCACCAGGTGATCAGGAGGGTCAGAGCAGGCAGGAGCCCTACAGCCTCCCAGCTCACCTGGCTACGAGCAAGCACCAGTTATAGAGGACAGGAACTGCAATCACAGCCAGCCAGCGGTAATAGCAGTCCCCCGCAGGGTCCACCACAAAGAACAGCCATTTCCTCCTGGAAGCAGAGAGGAGAGCAGTGTATTTGGAAAACAGGGTTGGAACAAACCACGTGAGCCATGTCCTTCATCCCTTGCACCACACTGCCTCCAGCAGAGCTGCAGCTTGGGTGCCAGCCTGTGAGCCAGGACCAGTCCCAGCAGTGCTGAATCCCAGCACTGTTCAAGCTCCTTTATCCCTAAAACTGAGCCAAGAGTGCAGCAGAAGAGGAAGCTGTGGGATGGTGAGGCAAAGCAGGTGGCCCACATGACACAGCACCCCAGTGGCAGAGCCGGGAACAGATGCATGGAAGGGGGGATCAGAAAAGTTCTCATGATGTGCATGACATTGCTTCTCCCAGGTGAGGCAGGGACCAGTGCCAGGCAGATCTGAAGAGTAATTGGAACAGGAAGGAAATTGTGCTGCAGATCAGTGGCAGCACCAGGAGGGGCTGCCCAAGCCCCAGAGCAGTGGCCCCGGGGGCAGCTGGCACGGCAGGGCTGCCTCCTGTGCCTCCTGCAGGCTGCACAGCCCGGGCTCCAGCCTTTGAACTGCTCCCAAGTGTTTGATCCTGCTCGCCTTGGGACGCTGAGATAAGAAGTGTGTGCTCCAGTTGCCAGATTCACTGGAGAAGCTGGGGAAGGGAAACTCTGTGGCTGTGTTGATAGGCTTATAGCAGCCTGGTGGGGCAAAACACCCTCTCCCTCCTTCCCTCCCTCCCAGCTTTTGAACACACAAAACTCCCTCCAGTGATAGAAAAGAAAAACAACCCACTTGCCAACAGTTTCCCCATGCCCACCCCATTACTCCTGGCAGCTTCAAAGGGAGAGCCCCTGCTTGGAAGTCTCCTTTCTCTGGAGTACAGGCAGTGCCCAGAGTTTGGGGACTGGCACTCATCTCAAAGCCAGCCCCAGTCCCTCATGTTCACCCTCTGGGCACCCACAGACAAGTGTGATCCAGCCTCCCCATTAAAGGGGCTTATTATTAGCCAGAAAGTGCAGCTTGAATTTGTTTTTTGAGGAAGAGACTCTGCTCCCTAGGACATACAGCAGTGCCACAGGGGAAGTTCTGACTCACCTGCAGCCAGCAGCCACAACCACCAATAACCCCAGTAATGCTGTTAATGATGTTGGTAATTTCAGCTTCTTTTTTTTACCAGTGCTGCCATAACAGGAGGCCAGAGTCACTAATTTTACACTGGCAGCAGGGCCAGGGCTGGAAAAACAGAGTTAACCCAGGAAGAGGGAATAATCATCTGCCTCTTCCCAAAGGCTTTGGAGCCATGGAGCCTGCCACGGCCATGAGCAGCTCATGTGTGGGATTACCAGACCTGGGGCTGTTCTTACCTGTGGAGCTGAGGGCCTAGAAAACCCCAGCAGTTCCCACTGGACCCCCAGAACCCGCTGGCACTGAGCAGCCCTTTCACAGCACACTTCAGCTCCTTCTAGTCATGAACAAGCCCCCTTAGCCTCACAGGGCAGAACAGTCTTTTCTTCCATTACTAGTAAAGACCCAGATACAAGGCTCAGATTATTTTTCTCCTACAGAAAACAATTATTTCTTGGTGTTTTAATTACCACATATAATGGTAGGGTCCAGAGCAGTCTGTGAGCTTTGCCCTCTAATTAGCCAGCAGAGGAAAAGCCAGGTTATTGCTTCTCACCAGGAGTGTGAGCTGAGGAGATGAAAGGGCTGGATTTGAAAGAGTCTTTTCAGAAAGCTGCTCTTTGTGGGGGCACAGGCAGCAAACACACTCCCTTCATCCTGCAGATGATGAATGAGAGTGGCAAACCCCAGTTTTGTGGCTCCTGGGTGGAGCCCTGCATCCCTTGGCTTGTGTCCAGCCCCTCACATGCACAAGCTGCAGGTGCATCTTATTACAGACTCCAAAAACAACCCTAGTGTGGGACTGGTATGAAACTGGGGAGGTCTGATGTGTTTCCCACCAGGGCATGGACCAGGAGGGAAGGTCCTTGGCTGAGGGACAGGCCAGGTCTGAAATTTCACAGGGACAGTCCACCAGCTCCTGTGTGTCAGGAGAGCCAGGCTGGCTGCCAAGACGGGCTGGAGGGCAGGAGGGACCCTTCCCACCACTCCACCCCACTTCCTTCTTTCCCACCCCCCTGGGACTGTCAGCAGAGCCAGGCTGGCTGCCAAGACAGGGGCTGGAGGGCAGGAGGGACCCTTCCTACCACTCCACCCCACTTCCTTCTTTCCCACCCCCTGGGAGCCCCCTGAGCTCCACACACAGCTGATCCCCAGCCAAGGACGGCCGGGACCACAGGAAAGGGACCCTACTTTTTGTTTAACTTCTCAGTTTCCTCATCCTGAAGCTCATCACCAGCTCCTGCAGCCACTGTCAGGAGCTCAGGGCCTTGGAAACGCTCCAGGAAGGGGTCTGGCCTCTGCTGCTCCTCGTGCAGGCTCTTGTTGGCCCAGTCCCTGAGCACCAGCACCAGCCGGACTATCCTGCATGGGGGAGACAGGCACACCCAGGCGCTGTTAACAGAGCAAGGACAAAGCAAAAGCTTCAAAAGAGTCATCACGGGAGCTGCAGTTTTGCAGGAGAAAACTCTCACAGCTCCCTCTCAAGCACTAGAATTTGTGTTTTATGAGGATGTGGGACCAAAAATAAACAAGCAATAGAGACCACCCTATAGAGTTCCACAACTTCTACCCCAGTCCTGCTGTCAGTCCCACAGGAATAGGAGGAATCTGTGGGGGACTGAGGCAGAGGGAGGCTGCCTGCAGGGAAAGGAGCCTCTGAGCCCAGTGCAGGTGAAGCCATCCCCACCAAAACCCTCTCCACGAGCACTGGGGCACAAAGAGCAGCATCCACAGGCACTCATCCCATGAATTCCATACAGCAGAAGGGGATCCTCACCCCACAGAAGGCCCCAGTGCCACGGCCAGGCACAAAAGGCTCACCCCACACCAGGGGACACACCAGTACCTGGCCAAGGCTCCCTGGCCTTGGAAAGCGTGGTCAGCCCTCTGCTCCCTCCCAGGCAGGCTGGCTCCTCTCTGCAGCTCTGAGCTGGTGCCATCCTGGGTTGAGCAGTTCCTGCCGTGGGGAAAAAGGGGGGTTGTTGTAGTAGTGAACCCTGGAATGGGGAATAATGAGTATTGACTCCATGATTGTAAAAGACTGATTAAATGTTTTATTAAGTTATACCATACTAGACTAAAAAAAAAACCCTGTGATCCTTACAGACAGTCACAACACAGTTTTGACCTAATTGTTTAATTAATTAAAACACTATCACCAGAGTCTAATTAAGAAATCCCTTTTGGTAAATAATCTCCATAACACATTCCACATGTGTCAAACAACAGATGTAGCAAGTGAAGATAAGAATTGTTTTGCTTCTTTCTCTGAGTTTTCTCACAGCCTTCCCCAGAAATCCTGGGAAAAGTTTGTGTCTCTCTGTTCAGAGGGTATGTGATACCACAGGGTTAGGGTTTTGAAAAGCACAAAGTCCAGGGCTCCAGGCGCACTGCAGCTGCAAAGGGCATCCCAGGGGGAACACAAAACTGCCACAACATCCCTTCCTTCACAGCTTTTTCCCTGGAACCAGCCCTAGCCCTAGGCTGATTTCCTGCCTAGGGCTACTCCGTGCCACCATGGCACTGCCACTGTAGGAAGCTGGCAGCAGAGATTGGGCACCACAGCCCTGCCCGTGCCAGGCTTTCCCTCCCCTGCCCAGCAGGGCCCCCCTCAACCAAGGCAGGGACAGGCTGACCTGCTGGTGCTGAGCCCTGTCCCCTCCGTGTCACCCCCGGGCTGGTGGCTGGCCGGGGAGCTGTGCACACCATTGCTCTTGGCTGGCATCCTCAGGGAGAGGGGACCACGGGCACACGCCCTGCCCCAGGGACCTGCAGCAAGCACAGAACAGCCACAAGGGAACACATGCAGGACACAGCGCAGGGTCTGAACACAGGAATCCAGCACAGCGTGGGAAGAGAGGGTCCAACACCATGGCATGGGCCCACACCGTGTTTCCCAGGAGTCCTGCAGGGCATTTTGTTCTCTCCAGGAGATCCCACAGCTGCCTGGAGCCATGAAAGATGCTCTCCTCATCGTTCAGGCTCCTCATTCCTTGCCAGAGGAACACCTCTTTTTCCTTCTCTTCCCTGCTTCTGCCTCCTCTCCTTTGCTTTTCCTGCTCTCCTGGCCTTCTGTTGCCTGGCCTTGCCTGCCCCTCCCCTTCCCACTCCTTGCCTTGTGCACTCCTTTTCCCTGCCCCTCCCTTGCCTTGCCTTTCCCAGTCCAACCCCTCCTTTACCTTGCTTGCTTTCCCCCTCCTTGCCTTACCTTCCTCTCCCCTCCTTTGCCTTGCCTGCCTCCTCCTCCTTTGCCTTGCTTTGGGTTGCCTTGCCTGGCTTCTCTATGCTTTGCCTTGTCTTTCCTTTCCTTATCTTGTCTTTGCTTTCCTTATCTCCTCTCCTTTCCTTTCCTTATCTTGTCTTTGCTTTCCTTGTCTCCTTCCCTTTCCTTCCCCTTCCCTCTCCTCCCTTGCCCTGCCTGCCCCTCCGTTCCCCAGGACACCGGTGCCACCATCGCCCACTTACGAGCCCGGCGTCCCCCGGAGCCTCGAGCGCTGCCTCAGGCGGGCTGGCAGGGCTGCCAGGGGAGCATCCCTGCCCCAGGAGCTTCCAGGGCTTTTACAAGCACGCAGGCAGGGCAGAAGAAGCGGAGGTAGGGGCGCGGTGGCCGGCGGTGGCAGCGGGGACAGCGTGGCTGTCACCGCCCCGCAGCATCCTCGGTGCCCCGGGCAGCAAGGCGCTCTCCGAGGAGCTGGCAGCAGCAGCAGCACCGTGCCTGGGGATGAAAGGGGAGGAGGGAAATGTGCTGCTCGGGGATGCTCCATTCCCTATGCACGCGTTCCCTGCTCCACCCGCCCCTCAGCTCCTCGGGGGCTGGAGGGACAGTGCCCAGCTGGAGATGGCAGCCACGCTGAGCTGCTCTGTGTCCAGGGGCCCTGGGTCACCTGCACCCAGGGACAGGCACAGCCAGCAGCCCCAGCTGGGCTCAGGTACTGCCACGCCAGGGGACGCACCTGGATTGCTGCCAGGGTTCTGCTCCACTGCCCTCCCAGCCCCTGCCCTGGGGAAGAGCAAAATGGTGACTATTTCCCTGCTTCGGAGGCTGTGCCACAGCTACTGCTAGGATGGAAAACTGGGAAAAGCAGAGACGTTTTAACACCCTCACATCCACCTCTTTGTCTGCTGGCAGAGCAGGGGAACAAAAGTGCTGCTCTGGAGTCCCAGCAAAGAGAGCTGCAGAGTTTGAAGGTGACCATGAAATGCACCTTTCACCAATTTCTGCCCTCCTATTTTGCCCAGGAAGTTATTCTAATGCCCAGTTAGCAAAAAAAATCTGCATCCCCAAGGCAATCAGGAAGAGGTCAGTTTTTCTCCTCTCCCTCAGGATGTAACCATTTGCAGTGGCTGAGGCTGGATCTGTCCCTGACAGGCACATGGAGTGCTGCACCTTGTGCAGGGCAGATCTGAAAGCACCAGCACCAGGAGTCTCTTTTATCTTTGCTATCAAAGGTTCACCTTTTCCTTTCCCCTTCAAAGCCTTAAATTCCACTTGTTCTGATCTCCCTGAGCACCCACGCAGCAGGGAGTCCAAAGGAACACAGAATTTCTCAGCCTTGGCTGGGGCTGTGGCTCCTGGGCGAGCACCCAGCAGCACAGGATGTCACCCTGCTCTTGTCCCACATCACAGAGCGTGGGTGACAGCTCACCAGGAGCACTGGCAGCAACGTGCCCCCCTTCCAATTCTCTTTTTGCTCCCTGCCTGCAGCTGCCTCCAAAAGGAACATGGGAACTCCAGGAGCTGCTCCCTCGAGCACCATCGTGCACAAAACACTTTATTTGCTGTGCAGTTGTTGTGGCAGTGGCCCCTGGGGACACCCAGCTCTGCCACGTGTGCTGCCTTGGGACAAAGCAGCCAGGAGGAGGAGGCAAGGGAGAGAAAAAAGGAAATAAAACATCACACTCCAACAGGGACAGCATTAACCAGAAGCTTTTCTACTCAAGACTCCCCCTCAGCCATGGGGCTGAGACACCCACGAGCAGGTCACAGTCCAGCTACCAAGGGAATAAACCTTACCTGTTCCCACTTACTGGGGCATCAGGACCAGACTCCACAGAAAATAAACACGTCCAGAACACACAGAGTTTATTAAAATATGCATTTTGTGGTCAGTGCTTCCAGATTTACACCAGCATTTATGCCTTACATAGAAGTCATGTCATCCACAACCTGAAAGTAACTAGCTCATGAGAACACACCCAGTTTGGCCACCTCTCCTCCAAACACCTTCAAGCCACACTTGGAAGGTGGTGTGCCTTCCCAAAGTCATCCCTTCTCACCCTAAAATAAACCCCAAACACAAGCTTCCTCCACAACACATTAACACCTCTCGAAGGAGAGAAACCAGACAATTTACCTCATTTCCTGGCCTGACTCCCACCCCCTTACACAGAACGGGAGTGGCAGGTCCTCTGCTGACCCTGCCCACAAGGCACAGGAGCCACCTGCCCTGCACATCCCCCTGGCACAGCACAGCACACCGAGCCCACCACAGCACCCTGGCTCTGGCCTGCAGGAAATGCAGCACTCAGCTCAGCAATCAGCCACAGGTTCAGAGCTGCAATTACTTGGGGACAGTTATTTATTAGTCCCTGTCCAGCTGCCAGGTTTACAGTCACGGACGCTTGACACGGTGTCAAGCAGAAAACACCCGAGCACTGATGTCTGTAAATAAGCTATGGGGACATCTGGATGACATGTAGATCCAGCTATAATTAGGTACAGGTGACACAGAGAGGTCCTGTTAAGCCTTGCCAGAACCTGCCCCCAGGGCCTGCATGCACAACTCCAGCAGATGTGCTGGATGAACCTCCAAAAACATCTCAAAGTCACCTCAGAATCAAGTGTTAATAAACTCTGGAGAAGGGAACAAACAGAAAAGCTGTTAAACTGAGCTTGTTCACAGCTAAAGAGCAACTGGGTCAGGAATTTCTCTCACCCATGTTCTTGCACCATCACTGAAGTTGCAGCTTGGCAGCAAGACCTGGGAGAGACACTCCTCCACTCCCCTCTGCCACGGGGAGCCTAACAAATATCTATTTTCCCTGACCTTTTTGGTGCTATTGCTGTTGCTCTGAGGTTTTATAATCCAGAGAGTCACCATGGGGAGGTTTCCAATGTAAATCTCTCTGGGAAAGAGCCAAGCCCCTGGACAAGCCCAGATGTCAGCAAGGCTCTTACATTTGAACATCTGCAAACCTGCTGTGGCTGCAGGGATGGGAGCTCCTGGCCCCTCCAGCTCCACTCCTGGAAGAGGGGCTGTGGCACAGGAGACTGGCAGCACCACCTCCACCAAGCAGCAGCTGCACAAGGAAGAAAAGAAAACCCAGCAGAAGTTTAGAAACACTCAGTCACTCTACAGAAGTGAGGAATAGACCACAGCAGCTGGCTGAGAACTTTTATGGGGTCAGAGCTGAGATCTCCAAGGTGGGATGTGGCCAGGCTGTGACTGTAACAGGACCCCACAAACACTCAGCTCCTCAGGTTTGCATCTCCTCTGGCAGCCTGAGGGCAACTGCACAGAACAGACACCTCCTGTGCCAGCCACCAGGCTTTTCAGAGACCTCAGCTCTGCACAGCAGCTTCTCACACCTTCACTGTCACCAAGGCCTGAAGGACACACATTCTTGAGGGTCCACAGTACAAAAAACAGTCCTAGTCAAGAAAAAAAGAGTTTCACTGCTGGCAAGTACATGAGAAGTGCTCCTGTCCCTGCCCTCACCCACCCTCCCAGGTGAGCAGGGGAGGCTGGGCACGGGCTGTCATCTTCTGAGCCAGAGCCACGTGTTGATGAGGCAAGCAGAGATCATCACCGAGTACACCAGGGCCTCCTTCTGTCTCCAGGCGTGGCACTGCTCCTCCAGCACACGCAGCCTCCCCGAGATCCTGGCCAGCTGCAAGGGAAGCACAGGGGCACTGTCACACCCAGAGGCATGGGACAGCAGGGGATGCACAGGTGGGAGCTGCTGCTCCTCCAGGTCCTCCTTCTCTAAAGGTCCTCCTCTTTGTGAGGGAGTGGCAGCAGCACCTCGGGTCTGCAGCAGATGCTTCAGGAAAAGATTGTTCCCATCAGAGAGCATCTGAGCCCCTCTCACTGCCACCAGAGGGGTCTGGCTGGGTCCTGCAGCCCCTCAGGGTAGGAGCTCGATGGATCAACAGACATGTAAGTCCTCTCCTTAAGGCAGGACCAGTCTGACAGCACCAGCCCACCAGGACTGAGCAACTGCTCCCTGCAGCCTCCGCACCCAGCCCTGTGGCCTTCCCAGCAGCATGTGCAGCCATCTCACCTGCCTTCTCATTGCTGCCACCTCCGTCACCCCGGCCTCCTCCAAGGGGCTCTCTGCACCTGGGACGGGCTCCTGGGAGCTGGGGAGGAAAGCAGAGATGCAGGTGGACCAGAACTGCTCGTGGGATGCAGCTGACCCCCAAAATGCAGCACGGGGAGCTGAGCCATGCAGGGAGTGTGTGCCAGGCTGTGCTGCACCAGGAGGAAGCAAACAGCACCTGCACAGCATCCCCTGATCTCTCCTGAGCCCCCAGCATGCACCCAAAGGGGCCAGACAGACAGACAGCACATGGCAAGACAGGTAACAGGAAACACGTGCTTGTATTTCTTTAGAGGTGCAACAGAGAGAAAACATTTCTACTAAGCATCCATCCTCTGTAGTCCCAGGAATTCACTGAGGGCTGGACAAAACATCTTTAGGGGCAGCCAGGTAAAGAGGTGCCACAGGACAGTGCTGAAGTGGAGGGGTGATCCCATTTACATCAGCAGGTGAGGAAGCTGCCATCAGCTGGAGGGAGCTATCACTTTTTGCTCTTGTAGCACATTTTACCTGCAATTTGAAACATAAACAAGCAACCCAAATGTTCATCACCTTCTTCCCTCCCTGGAAACACAGGGCCCCCACTGGAATGAGCTGCTGCACTGGCAGAGGCAGCACAGACCACTGGTCTCCAGGGCAGTCCCTGGAGGCACAGCCTCACTGCAGGGTCCACACCACTGAGTCACAAAATAAAGTGCATCCACAGTGAGAAAAATATAAATTCCTGTCATCATAGGCTAGCCCAGAGTCAGCTGTTCTATCACCAAAAATCCCCTGTGCACACCAATAACTCACACAGGCACTCACTGATCCCCTGGGGGTTAACAAACACCTAACCCCACTCCTTGGAGCCCTGGGGGGGAGAGGGTGTTTATCCCTGTTTGCAACATGATGCTGATCTCGCTGAAGACAAGCCAGAAGAGCATGTGGAGATTCACTGAATCCCTGTCTGAAACTACATTTGTGAGATAATACCTGCACAAAATGTAGCTGCAGTGTAAAATGACAGTCACAACAGAAAGAAAATGCTATTTTCCCCAGTAGAGAACCATGAAAAAAGGACACATCCTGCAGCTTTTCACTCAAAATCCCAGCTGATACAGGTAGAAACCCTTTAAAGTAGACTAGAAATTGCCTTCTGGTGACTCATACCCTTCAAGAGGTCACTGTCAGATATTCCAGGCTCTGTCTGAGATCAGACTTTGCTAAAATTTCAGGACAAACAAGCCAGCACAGTCTTTTGTTTTTTTTATTGTTGCACAGGGGTACAAAGCTGTCATATTGAAGGGATGTCTGCATCTGAAGGGATGAAAAGTACTAAGAAGAAGTGTTTGAGGGTGTCTGGTTTCAAAAGGAGATCAAGGCCTGGCGAGGAGCCCCAGAGTGACCCCACTGCATTACAGCAGCTCTGCAGGCTACCACGGCCTGCATGTCCTCCACTGCTGGAGGGAGGAGGGAGAAGGTCTTTTGTAGCCACTAACCAGATCTCTTGGTCATTAAGAAATGAAAAATATGTCTGAAGACAGCCTCAGTCTCCAGTTTTTAAAGCAGAGACATCACTTTGGATCCTCAGCAAGCAGCAGCCAGCTGGGGAGGGAAGGCAGGATGTGCCCTGATGATGGATGCTGGTTCTCCTCCCTTTCTGCCTGGAGGCTTTGCTCAAGGAGAATGAGGAGTATTTAGATGTTCCTCCAGGTGCTCAGCAGCCTTGGAGCAGTGGGGACACCTTAAGGCTGCAAGGATGTCTTTGAGCAAAGAGAACTTACCGCAGTGGCACAGATGAGGGTGGTGGAGATGGTTCCTCCAGCACATCTGGAGGGACTGAGGCCACTGCACACCCGCTCCAGGGAGCACAAAGGGACACCCAGCCTGGCCAGGGGCCCTGGCTGTGGGATGAGTGCAGCCAGTTCATGGAAAGGCTCATTAAGAGTGACCAAGGCACAGCCAAAGGTGCTGGGAGCCCGCAGGAGAGGCTGTCTCAGGGACAGCACTTGGGCCAGGCCGTCTGCTCTGGATTTTCATTCCCTTCACACACCCCTCTCCAACAAGCTATGAAAGCACAGAAATTTAGTCCTTGCTTAGCAGCAACCCCCGAGCAATGCCACAGCAGCACAGGGTCACTCAGGGTGCCCAGGGTGTTAAGCTGAGCAGCAGACTCAAGCCTGGCTGGGTTAGTGAGGTGCACCAAGGCCTGGCACCCAGAGCTGGCACACAGGACAAGTGAGAAAAGAAGTCCAAGGCAGCCATGCAGGACCATCCTGCAGCCCAGAGCTTAGAGCTCATGCCTGGCTCGTGCCCCAGCAAGGCACAGGCCAGTCCTTGCACAGTGACAGAGGGCTGGCTCAGGACAAGTCACCTGCACGGCGCCGGGTCCCACAGAGAGTCCTGGACACGGTGGAAGAGCACCTGGCCCAGGAGGTACATGGTCTGGAAGATGTTCTGCATGGAGTAGATCCTGCCTGCCTCTGTGAAGAGGGGGAGTGGGGTACGGGGAGCAGGCAGGGGACAGGAGTCTGGCCTGGGTGCACAGAGAATCACGCCTGTTACTCCCTGTCTTGCATGACAGGGCACAGCCTGGCACCAGGCACTGCCCCTCATCCCTTCAGCAGCTCCAACATCTCTGGGCAATGCCACTGGCACCCAGACCCTGATGGCATCAGCTGGGAGAACCCTCTCCAGCAGCCCCCAGGCTCAGAGCAGCCACCTGATTCCTCCAAAGCCAAGCACAGTGTGCCATGCTGCCCTCCTGCCACCCAGGGCAGCTCAAGACTTCAAGTGGGACACCAGTCCCTGCTCCAGGACTAGTTCAGAGACAATTCCCCCACTGCAGAGACTCTGGAGCCCAAGGCCATGAGCAGAGACCTGGGGAACAGCACAGCTGCCTTCAAAGCTGCCCAGCACAAACATCTCTGGCAGCAAAGGCCACGTTCCTCTCATGATGAGCAGGACTTGCCAGGCACTGCATTGCTCTGATGTGGATCCCCCATGGCCCTCCCAGGACCCACTCCAGAGAGCTCCAAAACAGCCCAGTGAGAGGAGATGCTGCTCCCCACCGCCCTGGGTGACTCTGGGCCCGTGCTCACCCCTCATGGTGCTGTCCTGGGCTGTGCAAGGCCAGCTGGGCACTGTCACTCGGGGTCCTGTCCCTCCGTGCCCTGCTGCTGTGATGGCCCTGCGGGAATGGAACACAACCACGTCAGCACAGGGCTGAGCCCAGCCTGGTGCCCTGTGTGGGCTGCAGGGCCAGGGGCCCATCAGCACAGGCAGAGCACTCAGTGGGAGCTCCACAGGAGCCCCAGCCCGCTGATGCTGTGCAGGGGGGAGACATGCCCAGAGCAGACACAGGGTCCCCAGCACCAGCCTGCTGAGCTGAGCTCCAGCCAGATCAAAAACCCTGAACCGAACCCACCCAGGATCAGCTCTCAAATTTCAGGGAGGTTGAAGCACTTGAGGAGGAGGAACAGCAGCTCCAGCAGCCAAATGAAGTCTTTGCCTGCCCATGCCTGGGACCTCTCTTTGAAAGAGTTTCACACAAGGCTAAAATCTGCTTTTGGCTCTGACCCCAGAACCCTTTACACTGCTGTAATGAACCAGCTCTGCCACACACTTCATCAAGAAGGAAAACAGGACTTAAAAAGTAGCAGCAGCAGCCAGTGGTGAGACTGCAGCTACCTTAGCCTACCTCCTGCCCACAAAACGCAGCAGGAGATGTGGCTGGATCAAGGTCCCAGCACACAGGTGTGCACTGGCTCTGGGTCAGAAAGAGATCCCACCATCCCTACCCCCTCACTCCTAGGGCCTCCTGGAAGATGAATCCTGGCTTGGGGTGACAACAGCTATCTGGAGAACCCCAAATTTGGGACTGCTCCTGTTCCCCACCCCAGCAGCCCGTCCCTGCCTGTACGGTACCGATCGCTTGCGTCGCTGGGCGCTGGCTCTGCTGGCTGGGGGCAGGAAAGGGAGGGCCCCAGAGGGGTCTGGAGACACGTGCACCACAACAGAGGGGACCTTCCTTGGCTGGGTCAACAGCACTGGCCTCAAACCGGTGTCTGATGTCTCTACAGGAAGGAGAGAGGGAAGAATTAAGCCAACCTGAATGGCCTCAGGAGGGGGAAGAAAGATGCACCCAAGTGGAGAGTCAAGCCTGTGTTTAGTGCCAGATGAACACTATGCCCTGGGTTTTCTGGGCAGCCCAGAGAGGCAGAGGCACTGCTTCAGGACAGCAAGGTTTCAGAGCTGTTTGTCAAAGACAGGGCCAAATGTCCTGCATCCCAAAGCAGGGACCCTAGCAAAGGCCAAGAGGGAACTGCAAGAGACATGGAGGGAGATGTCTTTACATTTTGCTCCTCACCTGTTGGACTTAAGGCCCCTCCAGACTTCTGTTGGTGACCTTTGCCCACCTCTTCCCAAGCCATCCACCATCCTGCCCTACACTCCTGAAGAAAACTGCCTGCATTATCTGCCCCCATCCTCTCCTCCAGCCAAGCAAAGGAAAGGGGGGGTTTATAAAGGGGTTCTACTCCCTAGGATGTTGTGCCCCACCCCAAAAGACAACCCAGGGCTTTACCTGCCAGAGAAATCCTATCAGGGATGTGCATCCGAAAGGACGCAGGGACATCCTCTGTCACTGTCCTCCTGTCCCCAGGGCTGCAGCTCTCTGCCACCTTCAGCCTGTTGGGAACCTGCATCCTCTGGTTGATGGCTTCTGTGAAGAGCAGGTCACAGCGCACACGGTTCAGGTCCAGCCCCCAAAGCGGCCACATCTGCAGGTGAAGAAGGAGGGATTACAAGGGACTTCACCCCTGGAAAGTCACAGCTGGACTAATTACCAAAGAACAGCCTTGCCCTGAATGGGTCCCAGCTGTGACTAATAAAGATAAGGGATGGGTGGGGCAGTCAGGGAGAGCCTGGAGGGAGAGGACCTTGAGGAGATCTGAGGAAGAAGGAATGACCCAGAGAGACACAAAGAAGAATGAAAGAAGGAAGAGAGTTGCTGCTGCAGAAGATCTGCTGTGAGGTTAGTCTGGGTCTCATAAAATTAGAGTCTGCAGTCACAGTCCAAGCCTGTGGTCAGAGGCAGCAAGGAAACACTTGCAGTCATATTGCAGCAGGAAATAGCCAGCAGTCAGCCTGTGAAACAAGCCAAGAGCAGAAGTTTGCTGTAGTCAGTCAGGATGGCTAAGCTGTGAAGAGGAATAAACAGGACCCTTTCCATGTTGTTAAATGAGAGTCTGTGCCTTGGCTCACTTCTACCCCTAATGAGAGGTTTGCTGCAACACACATCTTTGCAGGTGTCCTCAGGTGTCCTGGGGTTTCACACAGAGGGAAAGAAAGCTGCAAAGTGACAACAGGGACAGCTCTTCTTGCACCTGCACAGGGACAACACAACAGGCTGTAAGACAGACAAAATACAGGCAGAAACAAGGCAAAAGACAGACTCTGCAGGAGTTGTCTGGGACAAGGGGATGTCCCACAGGGGATGCCCAGCTGCCAGGGACAAGGCTGCAGGTGTCCTGGGAGCCAGGTATGAGCCTACCACCCACTGCCTTGACTGACAGCAAGGAAAGGGCTCAGCACACAGTTCAGTGCTAGTGAAAAAAAAAATTATTTTCCATCCAGAAAATAATTTTGAGGGCTGAAATCACATTTTTGTGTTCAAACACACCTTTGAGGAAAAATGAGGTTTTCTAAAAGCAAAACACACTTTTTTTGGGGGATGGACGTCCAGGTTACCACAGGAAAGGCTTTGGTGCTCAGTTTTTCTCCACACACACGATCGCTGCAGTATCCCCAGGGCCATACCCCATTCCCCCCATGATCCAGCACTCCTTGGGTAACCCACATCCAGCAAGGATGGACTTTGTCCTGAGCAGAGCTGCCAGATGCTGAACCACCCTCCCAGAGGGGAAGGAAAACCACGCATCCCCTTCCTCAGCTTGGAGCAGAGCTCCCAGCTCTGCCTTCTTCCAGGTGGGACCAAGGAGGGATGCAGCCCCCAGTTCTCCCTGCTCCTGGGAGCAGCTGACAGAAGGACCAGGACACACGATGTTGGATTATAATTTTTTTTTGGCTTAGAGATGGGGAAACTGAGAGGCGTTTTAAAAACTTTTATTCTATTTTTAGTCTTATGTAAAGGGTGAGACAATACAGATGTTATAATTGACACTACTGTAATCAGAAGTTAACAACTTCTTAATTACAATACACTTTAAATGTTTCTTGTATGATGGGTAAAACTTTTTTCTCCATGTTTTCTTTTGATGGTTTTTGGGTGTTACCACAGTGAGTTTTAAGAATTTTCTATAAATCCACTTCCCCCAATGGGACACGGACACCACCTGGGGCTTTGCAGTTCTCAGCACACACAGTGGCCCTGTGCCTCAGTTTCCCTTTTGCCGAGTCCCAGGGTTTTGAGAAGTGCTCTGGAGCCACAATGTCCCAAGACTTTCACCGAGCCACACAAGCAGAGGGCAATCAATGTACGCTTTTGGGAAAGGAGCCCCAAAAGTCACCTTCCTGGCTCCCAGCATATGCACTCTTTATTCTTTCCCAAAAATCTGTAGTTGAGGAGAAAATCCCAACAAGCAAGAGGTGCTGAGGCTGGCAGACCCCAGCCTAATCCCAGTGCTGCCCAGGCACTCCAAACATGCATGCATAGCATCCTGCACCCTCCTTGCTGGCACCTTTTGATTTCACCGTGCCCAAAAAGGTCCTTCGTTCCTTCTAGAAAAAAATCTCCACTCTAAGAGGGGCCAGCAGCAGCCAGGGCTGCCCACCACATCCCTCACTGCTGTTTCTCAGAGCACTTTGGACACCCTCACCTTCCCCAGCCCCCTTCAACCCTTTAGGATTTCACCCAGGGTAGAGGAGCAGAAGAAAATCCCTGGGGCAGGATCATGGGACCTGTCCCCTCAGCTGCCAGGCCTTGACACTCTGGGTACAGGAGGGTGGCAGAACCAGCTCTGCACCTGCCTCAACCAGCACTTCCAGTGATCACTCACCTCGTGCTACTCCCTCCTCCTCTGCCATTAAAAACCTTTTAAGTACATAGGGATTTGCCCAGCACCAGCAGTGGTGATTCCCTGCTTGCAGCCTTGCAGACACTGCATCCCTGTCCTACACTGGGTCTGTCCTGGAGGCACTGTGGGCACCCAGTGGGACCCCCACACCATCCCCAGCATCCTACCCAGCCCCAACCCATGGGTCTCATCACACACACACTCCCAAAACTCCAAAGAAACTGGATTTTTCAGGCACCCCCTTCTCAGAAACAGGACAGTAATTCCTGGGATGGTCCCAAAATGTGTCAGTCCCACAGGAGAAACCTGCCTCAGACCCCCAGCCAGGGTACACAGCCATGGAGAGCACCAGGTTTTCCTTCACATCTGTGGTGCTTCAGAGGAGCCAGCAGCCTGTGTTGCATTCCCAGGCTGTTCTCTGGGAAACCAGCTTATATTAATAACAGTAAATCTGGAGAGGGCAGATCTGTTCATTCTCTAATCACCTGTGAAACCACTGCAGCTCCCAAGGAACAGAGGGATGGGAGGGAGTGAGAAGGAGGCTCTGAGACTAAGCTATTAAGAAAGGGGGGAAAAAATCAGCTGTCAAAACTCATAAGAACAAAATGCTTAAGTGGCTGGATTTCCTCCTTTAACTTTCTTTAGGGCTTTTTCGAGCTCTTGCCAAACACCCCCCACTCGCCTGGAGAGGCTCAGCATCTGCTTTGGCACTTCTCCTTGGATTTGCAGCTACAGGGAATTTCCGGCTCACTAAACCAGAGTAGCTTTAAGTCCTGCGAGCCAGGAAAACCTGACCTGGGGAGGGAAACTCCACAACCTCCCTCTGTCCCTCTCCAGCCCGGGACACCCCAAACAAGGCAGGCGGGGTCCAACACACCCCGTTCGGGGTGGGGAGCTGGAGGGGGCGGTGGGTTTCTGCCAGCTCTGCCCTGCGGCTCGGGGACACACCGTGTCCCCCCAGAGAGGGACCCCGACACGGCGGGCTCCTCACCGGGCTGGGACACACCGTGTCCCGGCAGAGAGGGACCCCGGCACGGCAGGATCCTCACCGGGCTCGGGATGAGCCCGCTGCCTCAGCACGGCTCCGGGCACGCCGGGCGGCTGCGGGGACACACGGCAGGGGACCCGGCCGGGGAAGGCACAGGGGGGTCCCACGCCCTCCCGGCCCTGGGGACATCCCGGCCCTGCCCCGGGGACGCTGCAGCGGCCCGCAGAGCCCCGGCCCGGCCGTGCGAGCGGACAAGGGGCCAGTGCGGCCCGGGGACGGACACTTACTGTGTGTCGCAGAGCCACGCAACTTGCCGGACCTGTAAACAGCCGGGACGGGGCGGTGCCGGCAGGGGCGCCCGGCCCCCGGCGTCTAGCCCTGCCCCCGGTGCCCAGCCGGTCTCTCCCCGCTTAAAGCCGCAGCCGGTAATTAACACGTTGGGATTTATCCTGGTGGCACCTCCCCCGGCAGCCCTCGTGTCCCCAGCCGTGCTGAGCCGCGTGCTGGAACACCGGGATTGCTGTCGCCAGGGGCAGAAGCAGACCCAGGACCCTCCCCGTGTGCCCAGCCCCGGGCAAAGCCCGCTCCCCGCAGCCCCCGACCCAGCAGAGCCCCGGGGCCGCCCCGTGCCGGAGCTAATCTCGGCCCTTCGCAGAGATAAAGGATCCCTCTGGGATTAACGGCAATTTTAAACACTTCTGAATGGGGACAGGGTCCAAGACCTGACCGTAAAATCTGGGTTTGAAAGGACTTAAAATAAATCCCCCGCTGCCCTAGTCTTGCTATTTAAAGGGGATTATCTAAGGGGTTTAGGAGCGCACAGAGGACGGCAGGACAACCTGTGCACCTCAATCCCCTCCAAGACCCTCAGAAAACCTTTCTGCATCTCACCTGCTGGCAGCTCGGGGCTCGCAGGACACCCTTCAGGTTTCTCAGAGGGTACACCACATGGCCAGGTAAAGTTCAGGGCTCCAGTTGGATCTTTGGGGTTCACTCCCGGACGCTCCCATTCTCACTGGGGACAGTCCAGCAGCCATGGTGGCAGTCCTTGGTGTCACTGTCCCCCACAACACAACACCCTTTGTGGGAAAAAGCCACCCTGTGCCACTCAGACAGTGAGGGTTTTTTAATAAATACCTTTTCTTTTGCACAGAAATATACCAAGTTTTACAGAATACAAACTGCAGGGATAATGACTGAGCATCAAAGACAGAGGATGCGGAGCACCCTTGTGTCTCCCTCTGGTGTTTTCTAGCTCTGGCCCTGAGCTCTCTGTCAGCTCTCCCCATAACCCCGACCTGCTAAGGCTGGGGAGGGGACAGCCGAGGTGCCAGCATGTCCTGCCCCAGGAGCAGCCACACTGGGCAAGCCTCAGCTCTGGGCTGAGGGCACCAGCTGCGAGGGCATCACTGGGGCCGGGCGGGATGCAGGCCACTGATGGATGGACAATAGCCTTTTGGTGCTGGTGGAGAGGCTGGTGCTGGGTGAACACCGGGTGGTGGCAGTGCTGGGAGCTTCTGGGCTGCTTCTGGGGGGTTGGAGCACAACCCTTGTATTAATCCATCAGACATGACTGGGGAAGGACAGCCCTGTTGCCTGGACCCTACAGGCAGCTGCCCAGGGAAAGGGGACACTGATCCCACAGCAAAGCACCTGGCTCTGCCCTGCCCTGGCAACACAACCACCTGAGCAGGCTTGGCCCTGCTCCTGACTGCCAAGGCATGGCCTTGTGGCTCCTGCCCCTGTCAGCAGGACTTCCAGGCCACAGCCCTGGACACCAAACACTCAGCCCACCCGAGAGGTCACCCCGAGTGGGGTCCCGCATTCCACTGTACCTGCTCTGGAGGACAGAGTCCCAAAGAGAGGAGCCAGGCAGGGCAGAGAGGTTTGGGGTAGGGACAGGGGAGGTTTGGCCTGTCTGCAGGCTCTCACCTCTGGGGCAAACACCAGATAGGCCACGCTCCAGGAGAGAGTTGAATCCCCATCACTTAAAGCCATGAGACCACAGTTGCTCGGGGTCAGAGAGGACCCCCTTGGCCAGCTCGGCAGCAGCCAGACCTCCAGCTGCTCAGCACCCACAGGGGAGAGCAGAGAGCATCAGGAGAAGGCCCTGCTACTCCAAAGCCACTTACCTCAAGTACAAGACCACCATGAGCCCTTTCTCCCTTTCCAAAGAGATCTAGGAGATCAGAGAGCACCTTCTAGCTGCTCCTCCCTGATCTCCACACAGCAAATATCCCTACAGGCACCACAGTGTGGACCGGGCTCCCCACTCCCACTTGGCAACAAATCCACATGGGGGGAGCACCATCTCCCCACAGAGCTGGCCCCACCAACGGCAGGGATGGACAAAAATTTGCCACACCAATCCTGCATCTCCGTCACCTAATCAGAGCCCTGAGCAGTAGAACAGGGCCCAGAACATGGGGTGAGGCTGAGCAGCAGCCCAGGGAGGCAGCAAGGCTGCTCTAATCATGGGAAATGTTATGTCTGTTTGAGGGGGAAGTGAGGAAATCAAATGCACCATGGGGAGACCCCCAGGTTGAGCCAGGAACAAGCTGCTGCTCTGCTCTGGCTGCTACAGCACTTACGTGAGTGGGGAGTGAGGGGCAGGAGATGGCTGGCTGGCTCCAGAGCCATCCCACAGCCCTGCCTCACCCCACCTGGGGACAGCTATTTTTGGTTAGGAGGGTAAGGCTATTGTGTGATGGCACCAGATTGTACAGGTGAAATGGGGCCTGACGAACACCAGAAGGGGGTCCCAGGCATGGCGAAGGGAGGGTGGCAGGGTGAGTGTGAGAGTGTGAAGAGGCAGGAGGGAGGCACACCCGCTATTTGCCCGCAGCAGGGGCCGTGGCCACGATCTCTTCGTACTTGGGCGGAGGGTCATTGTAGGAGACGCTGGTCTCCTCGCCGCTGCTGCTCTCGGGGTGGCCCGTCACCTCCTCGTAGGAAGGCGGGGGAGTGGCACTGGACAGTCTGGAGAGGACGGAGACAGAATGCTCTGGCGGGCACAGGGTGCCGTCTGGCTGGGGGGTGCCCGCGGCTCTGGCATCCCCAGCCCCCCGGCTGCTGGCTTCCCGCTGGTACTGGGTCTCCCCCTGGCTCTGCGAGCGCTCCCGGTACACCATGACCCTGGGCAGGCTGCGGCCCGTCCGGCTGGCCAGGTAACGGTTCTGGGCATAGGAGGGGCGGTGGCGGGTGGCCTTTTGCAGCTGGCACCTCCAGATGATGAAGAGGGCGATGACTATGAGAAGAGCCACTCCCAAGAGGGGCACCACCACGTACATAGCGTCAGAGCGCTCCGTGCTGTGCCCGGGGTCCTTGACAGAGTACACAGAGCTGGTGTAGCCCTTCCAGAACTCCATCTGTGACAGGAACAGAGAAACAACCATCATGTGCTGCAGGTGGGAGAAGGACCCCAACCACCACCAGCAATAACCACTGCCCTCCCCACACCCACAAAAGGGTCAGCATTTTGGATGTTCCCCACCCTTTCAACCTGGGTTGCTGTGGGACCAACACAGAAGGTCCTGGGAACATCCCCCACTATCCCACAGCAAGCAGGGAAAAATTTATTCCACACCAAGCCCAGCCTAGAGAATCACGGACAACAGCACAGATTTGCCACACCTGCCATGGGAGCACCAGCTCAACCTGCAGCTGTGGGCAGGGAGTCCTGGCAAAAGCAAGGTGAGGCCATTGCCTGGGAAGGGAAAGCCATGCTGGGAAGTGAGGCCACAACATGCTGCCTGCAGCCAGAACAGGACAAAGGCAATAGGAGAGGCTGTTCCCCTTGTGCTTTCTTTCTGTGTCCAGCCTGCTGAGGTGTGAGCCCTCCCACATGCCCTGGGGAGCAGTGCAGGACACACGCACCGTCTTCTCCTTGTTCTCAAACACCTCCTTGACCTCCTCATAGCTGCAGACCTCCTCAATGCACTCCCGCTCGATGGTGCCCTGCCGGATCTCCTCCAGGAAGCCATTGGCTCTGGGAAAGCGTTTCAGGAGCGAGTGGGCATTCCTGGCCCCCAAGAACACTGCAACACACAAGGCAGAGACATTCTGAGCAGGGACAGCCCCATAGCTGGCCTCTGCCCAGCCAAGCTTTCCAACCCAGCTTCCTGACACCACATGCATCCCCAACACCAAAAACCCAGGGCTACAATCAGGTAGGACAGCAGGTAGGACAGCCAGAGGGGCACAGGACTCTCGGGTCTGCCCAGAGACATATGGCACCAGGAGCCCTCCTGTCAGGGCTGAGGTGCTAGAGACATCAGAAGCAGCAGCTGCAGCCACACAGAGCAACTGAGGAAGAGACAAAAGGTCCCAAAAATATTTGTTTCCAACCTTCTGCTCCTGATGGATTTCATCTTTCTGCCCCTTTGCTGTAGGGCAAGGGAGAACCCACCAGGAGAGCAAGACCCCACAAGGCTGGGACACAGAGCTGTGCCAGGACATGGAGCCAGCACTGAGAGGGACTTAGAGCCCACCGTTCAACACAACAGCCTGCTGGAAGCTGGTGTCCCTGCTGCCAGCTGCTCAGGGGTCATGCAAGCTCAGGTGGCATCAAGGACTCTGTCCAGGCCCCAGAGAAACCACTGTCTTCTCCCAAGCCCAGGAGAACAAGTGCAAACATCCCCAAAACACAGAGACAGCACAGGGGGATATGAGTCAGGGGCCTGAGCGACCTCTCCTCACACAGCAGCACTCTCTCATCCCCACTGTGTTTTGATGCAGAGGCCTCACAAATTTTCCTCTGCTCCCAAAGCCTGGGAGACTCCTCAAGTCTTCCCACAGCACATGCAGTCCTGAAGCCAGACAGAGCAGGAACAGCTCCTTACTGCCTGCACGAGAGACATCAAAAGCCTCTCTCCATATCCTGCAGGAGACACCTCCATGGGTGCAGGAGGGAGGCACCTGCCAGGACCTGCAGCAGCACAGGAGGCAAAGAAACTCAGAGAGCAGAAACTTCACACAAAACATGATCCTTCTGGGATCCAAACACACATTTCATGAATGAGTGTTTCCACAATGCAGTTCAACAGACTCAACTGTAGTCTGCTTCCAGCTCTCCCCACCAAGCCGCAAAATCCTGCTGCTTCCCTTGGGAAGATGAATCAGTTCAGCTGGGTGATCCACAGGAACCTATTTACCTCCTTCACCCTCAGGCTGTCTTCCACTGGATCATCAAGGTGAACCCACTCACACAGCAGCAGCATCAAAGGAGGCAGGGGGACAGAATCTCCCATCTGACCAGCTTGGTGCTAACAAAATACTGGCTCCACAAGCAAAACAGTCAGTGAAAAGCCACCAACTTCTTTCCTTAGGAGCCTTTTCCCAGGGAGAAAGTTTCCTTCTGCTTTACCTTCCATGTATCCTGCTGCTGA